TTGCTGCATTTTTGCAAGTTATTTTCTTTCTTGTATTTTAGTTCATCTATCCTGCACAGTGGATGAACTGCAGCTGCAGGACCTTCAAAGCGGACCCATCCTGCTGTGTGAGGAGTCAGCTGTGATTTGAGCTGTACAGTACAGTGACACTGACCACTGCCAGACTTTACAGCTTCTGAGAACAGGAGAGTGTTGCCTGACCGGGGGAGCGATGAATGTCTGCGTTTCTCCGCCAAAACCTGCGTCACAGATTCAGAAACGTGTTGGAGATCACAGACACGCTGTGGCTGATCACTCAGACTGAGTCCCGTTAATCATTCACGGCATTCTCTGAACCAGCACCCTCCGTTAATAACACAGTCAATCAGTGAAATCTGACGGCCAGGCTGTGAGTGACCCATAGCTGGAAAAAGCCCCCTGAGGGTGAGAATGGGGGCTCGCCTTTGATATTGTTCCTTAAAAGGGATGCTGGCTATATTCCAGTGGGGGGGATCTGTCTATAGACACAGCATGAAGGTCCAGCGCTGCAGCTCGTCTGTCTAGGTGGGTTTAGTTTTGAAGCCCACCGCTCTGAACCTGAGCTGTAGCCACTTTTGTGTCTGTTCTGCACAACGTCAGTCTCTCTGGGCTGTGTGAGCACTGCAGCACTACTAAAGGACCCACTTCCCACGTTTGACTTTCATCACATAAGTGTTCACTTTAAAAAGTCTGAAGTCGTGCAGCCCCTACTGGATTCTCACCTGGGACCGTAAAAATTAGCTAAATAAAGTTTATACAGCAAGGTAAAAAAATGTATTGGGGATGTATTTACAAAAATGATTTGAGTGACTACTGACTTCTAGTGTTAGCAACATTAGCTTTGTAGTTCCAGCTCTAAACTGAAGTGGCAAAATTTGGTCCCATTACTGAACCAGCTTGTATAATCTCCATAGAAAAGCACCGACCAATAGAATGTGACGCTCTGGAGCTGCAGCTACACATGAGCCTAAGGTCTCCATGTCCAATGCCAAGCGTGGGCTAGAGGGGTATAAAGCCCCCCAGCATTGGGCTGTGGTGCAGTGGAACTGTGTTCTCTGGAGTGATGGAGCTCCAATCAATAACTTTAGGATGAGTTGGAGTGATCCAGAACTGACCATCCAGCATCAGTACCTGACCTCACTAATGTTCAATCAAATCCTCACAGCAATGTTCCAACATCTAGTGTAAAGCCTTCCCAGAGTAGAGGCTGTTACTGCAGCCCACCTCACTATTAATACCCAGAAGAAACGCTGGAGCAGCAGGTGGACGTGGCCTGCTGTAGGCCGCTGTAGACAGTTCATCACAGCCACATACCACAGAGTTAACATGCATTTCGGTTTGTGGTTGCGCATCATAAATAGCCCAATACCGAGTCTGGACAGCTGCAGCAGACCAAAGTGGTCAGACACCATTTCATCAACATTTTTTAATGGTAATCAAATATTCTAACAGACTAACAGATGAGTTACATAAGCACAGATACCACAGCAGAAGACTGTACACCAGCTACGGCCGAGAGCACAACTACCTCTAATTTTAACCGTACAGATGAGCAGGGAGCGTGGAGCAGTCTAAAACCATCCTCTAGGAACAGCATTGTTAGTGCAGTCAAAGTAAAAGTACTTTTCCAAAAAGCAACTTGAGTAGAAGACGCTACAAGGCTGAAATCGGCTTACATTTTCTGCTCCACTTTGAAAGGAGCCCCTTTTACATTCTGGCACCTGAGTCGCACCATTTGAGGTGGAACATAAAACTCAAATATCAAATATAGTTCTCTATTTGATCAAAATAAAATCCTAAAGCCCCAAAGTCAGAGATGCAAAATCGAGAAAACCAGTACAGATTCTGTCACCAACGAATGATGAAATTTAATCCCCAAAAACGCAATTAAGAACTAAATATTATGGAGCAAACCTGAACTTTACACACTAACCATTTTAAAATACTACAGCCTACATCAGTTTAGCCCCAGCCACTCACACTGAAGTTATAAGCAGTGTTTTAGCCTGGACTGCTGGCATGCTACAGTGCAGCCAATCAGAAAAGAGCTCATTTACATACATCAGTCTTAAAAAATGCAGTAACAGAAACCTATTTAATTTTAAGAGATACAGACAGGCTGGTCAAAAAAGGGTTAAGAATCACCACACACCACTTTGAGTCCCTCCACAGATTATTTGTGCTGTATATTTAAAGTCTTTCAAAATAAAAGTCAAAAATGTGATTGAAATATTAAAAATAAAATGAAAGGTGAGGAAACGATACCTTGTTATTTTTGAATCAAAAGTGTGATTAAATGATTTTGAGGCTCAAGCTTAAACATTAAGTGTTCATGTCTTTGTATCAATTTATTGCCTCTATTTAAAATATTAATATTAGAAATAAAGACAACTGATGTTAATGTAATAAGAAATGATTTGATATCAAAGAATGTTTTTAACCCTTTCTGCTCTTTTCTAATTAATGCTTCATTTTGTTAAATCAGGTGCTGCTGATGGATGTGATGTCTGGAGGCGTCCAGGAGAAATCTTGAGGTTTGGTTCCAGACATCATCTACTTTTTTTGACCAGAAACTCTTGTTCATTTTTACCGCATTTACCGTTATTTGCATTTATTCTAATGATGTGTGGTGTTTTTATTTTTTTAGTTACTTTATTACTGGAGGCTGATTCTGTTCCGCACACTTCAGTTCCTCCTAATTTCATCTGTTGCTTTTGCAGTATTGCTCACCACATCCCACCCCCCCTCCGTTTCCCCACAATGCCGGTTTTAGAGCTGAAGTACGTGGTGGGCTCAGAGCCAAAACTAACACTTCCCCTTGATCAGGAGTCGATGTCTGGCACAGAACACAGTCGAGAGTGTCAGCGAGCTGCTGAGAGAGGAGGAGTGATAAAACATACGCAGTGATGTGGGTTCCAGAGAAATGCTGACAGCCTTCAACATTCTGCACCACGATACACTCTTAAGAGTCGTATTGATATTTCTGATGTCTTATTCAATATTTCAAGCATTCTGTGAACAAGATGATGAGTAATATTGTCTAACTTGTATTCAACAGCATTCCTGATGTTCATTTTATCATGTGAGAAATATCACTAAAGTTCAGCCTTTTCTATCTCAGAGTGACGCAGAGAAACTTGTTGCTGGGTTTGCTTAGCAGAGTTAATAGAGTGTAATGATCTTCTTACTGGGCAAAACAATCCATCAACATCCTCTACAACTCGTACAGAACGCAGCAGGACGGATCCTCACAACACTAACACAGAGAACTCATATCACCCCCATTTACACACTGCACTGTCTGCCTGGATCTTTTAGCAGAGATTTTAAAGCTCTGCTACTGGTTTTTAAAGCTCTCAATGACATTAAAGCTCCTGAATGTCTGTCTCTTTATGATCTTAGATCTGCAGATACTGACCTTCTGCAAACACCTTCTGTAAAATACAGAAAACGTAGAGACCCTTTCTGTTATTCTGCTTTTAAACTGTGGAGCTCAGTTCACCTTTTATTAGACATTCAAGCTCAGAGCTCACTTTTAATAAACATCTGAAAATGCAGCTCTTTAAGTTAGAGCTTCATTAAAACTCTACGAGTCTTTGGTGTTTATCTGTTTAATCTGATCTGTGTTATTGTCTTATATGATTTTAAATTAATACTCATAATACTAGGCGGCACGGTGGTGCAGTGGGTAGCGCTGTCGCCTCACAGCAAGAATTGCCTGGGTTCGATTCCCAGCCGGGCGACCAGGGTCATTTCTGTGTGGAGTTTGCCTGTTCTCCCCGTGTCTGTGTGGGTTTCCTCCGGGTGCTCCGGTTTCCTCCCACAGTCCAAAAACATGCAGTCAGGCTGATTGGACATGCTGAATTGCCCCTAGGTGTGAGTGAGTGTGTGACTGTGTATGTCTGTCTGTCTGCCCTGCGATGGACTGGCAACCTGTCCAGGGTGTATCCTGCCTTCCGCCCAATGACAGCTGGGATAGGCTCCAGCACCCTACCGCGACCCAGAAGGATAAGCGGTTTAGATGATGTATGTATGTACTCATAATACTCATTTCTCATGTTATTGTTAAAGTTTATCACCTGACTGTAAAGAACTTTGAGCTGTGACCAGAATAAAAAAGATCTCTATAATTAAATATATTATTACTATTATTATTATTATTGTTATTATTATTATTATTATTATTATTATTATTATTATTCATCATCATTATGGTTATTATTATTATCATTATTATTTATTATTATTACAGCTTTCTCTGTCAGTTTAGAATCTTCTACAGCTTTGCTCATCATTCTAGACACATTACGATCTCTTCATGTTCATTTACAGCTTCACTCTGATGATCTGAAAGCTGTGAAGATGTTCTGGACAGGCAGATCGCAATCATTTTACACATTTATCTCAAACCAGACTGGCTCTATATGACTGAACACACTTTTAAACAAGACGTTTAATCTTTATAAAAAATCATTTAAGACAGGCATGGAAATGAAATCACTGTTTTATTTTGAAATTAAAATCGCTGCTCTGAAAAAAAAATCCCCTAACTGTATTTAATCATTTAGAACAGAAAAAAACATAAGATGGAATTATTTACTATCACTGAGACACTGTACACCAAAAACAGTGCAGTACACTATTAAAAAGGTGGTTCTTCAAGGGTTTTTCTTTAGTAAAGAAAAATGGTTCTATGTAGAGCCATGAACACTCAAAGAACCACTTTATTAAATGGATCTTTGCATGGTAAAATGGTTTTAGATTGCTGGAGAATGTGTTGTATATGGTTTTACATACAACGTTTTTGGAAAAGGTTCTATATAGCACCAAAAAGGGTTCATCTATTATAACAAGTTTGACATCATAACAAAAGAAGAACCTTTTTCTAAAAGGTTCTATATAGAACCATCTACAGCACATTCTCCATCAATCTAAAGAACCATTTGACCATGCAAACAACCCTTTAAAGGATTCTTTGAGTGTTCATTGTTATATATAAACCATTTTCTGTACTAAAGAACCCTTAAAGAGCCATCTTTTTTTAAGAATGTTTAGTAAAGACAATGAGAACCATGATCATTCAAACCATATGCATACTTAAATGGTTTTTCACATTGATGTGGAATGTGTTGTATATGGTTCTATATAGCACCAAAAAAGCTTTTTGGTGCTATATAAACCATATACAACATCAATTTGAAGAACAATTTTGTGATGCAAAGAACCATTTAAGCATGCAAACTGTTCTTTGAGTGTTCTATACAGAACCACTGACCTTCCTAAAGAACCCTTGAACAGCCATTATTTTAAATAAGTGTAGATGGTGCTCCAGTTTCGGGTTCTTTATGAGGACAACTGAGGAGCCAATGTTACCCAATGTCGTCTTTGAGGTCTGGTCACTCACAGACAGTTCTGTCCTTATTCAGTTCAGATGGTCATCAGATCCGTCCTGCCACTCGAACACCAGAGTCATCGCGGATCCTCGACTCTGCGGAACACGGCGAGGTAGTTCTTGCCTCCATTCCTCTGCACTTTCTTTCCTTCTTCTGTGCATGTTCCCAAACGACTGATGATGACATCGTCCTTCTGCAAAGACAGAAGAAAGTTCATATCAGCACACAAGACTGCAGTCTCACTCACAGTCTCCTCAGACGGGCGCAGCGGACAGCGCAGTGAGGGAGGAGAGAGAAATGAGTAAACGAGGCAAGCAGAGCGCAGAGCCGCTGCACCATTAGCAGCACCTTCTACAGCACAGTATGGAAACATGCATCATGTGCAGAGAGGAAAATTCACTATTTCCGTCCACCTGCCTGTGGAGTGGGCATTTATAGAGCACCATATACCGGTAGTCAGTGTTTCCTCTAGGATTTTTTTCAGCAGTGGTGGCATGCCAGGACAGACCCCCCCTGTCCACTAAAGGACCAGGTCAAAACCAACCACCCCTCACCCCTCCGGCAGTTTCTTTTCTTTACTGTCCAGACACTGAAGACTAGGCTCAGGCCATTAGTCTTATCCGTTTAATTCAGTACATTTTCAGTACATGCTGTAAAGTTCTAAACAAACAAGACACACCGTCTTTAACAGTACGTCACCCACGCTGGCTAGCATTAAAACATTACAATGATGCAGGTTTGCACAGAATCAAACAGACAAATGTCCACAAAATGTAAACTTGACCTTAATAACGTTGCAGAATAAGGTTACCCCATATCACCCCACAATAAGGTCAGTTAGCCAGTTCACTAACTACGCTTTTTACTGATGACTGTTTAATTCGGCTCTGACAGTTTGCACAATGTTCGTCCACTACCATAATTCCAATTTAAATTCTGCTGATCAGCAGAACTACAGACTGAAAATTCTTAACATCACAACATCTACAAACATCACACAGAGTCAGTCTAATGTCTGTTTTGCTGAGCAAATGATAAAGAAAATGGTGTTAGTCTCACCATCTCAAGTCTCAAGTGTTAGTTTACCCTCAGCAGATTTCTAGATTGTGATTGGGCTGTCACTTTAAGTCTAAACCTTCTGAAAAAAGCCTGTGTAGCTCAGAATATTTAACTAGTCTTTCGTGTGGCACCATGATACTGGCTCAAAATTATGACGTCTGTTAGCCATCAATCATGGCCTCATCTATCAGCCCAACCATACCCTGAGTGTGAATTACAAGCCAGACGAACGAAAACACAACAGAACAGCTGGACAGCACAAATTATCAGCACCAATTACATCAATAGCACTGAAGCTCATCACAACCAGCCAAACACCACCATCAGCTCAGTATTTAACAAGGAATATACGGAATTTACAATTTAGGATGAAGGAAGTCAAGCAAAAAGACATACCCATGTATACTGAGCTTTATCCACAGAGCTGAAAGATCATAAACAGAATAATCTAAATATATACAGCACTAACAAACATGAAAATAGGCTACGTCTGAAGCTTTCAGTCTGAGAAAAATTGACCAATCGTGTTAATTCTGCCAAGCAAGGGCCACTCGACTGGTCGAGGCGGTTTTCTCCAGCGTACTGAGATGCTGCTGATTGGCTTACAGCAGCGTGCAGAATCTGATGGAGAGTTTGGAAGCCTCAGAGTGCTGTGACCAGATAAATAGTTTGAACAGTATAACTTTAAGGCAAGGCAAGTGTGGCATGTGCCCACCCCCTGGGCCGCGATGACAGCCATGAGAACCGGCAGGGTGGCAGTGCCCAAATCCCGAATGCAGCTGAGGGACACGAGTGACAGCAGAAAGAGGATGTCAGCTTCCAGAGAGGGGACTATGACAGCCCTCAAGAGAAACGATAGCTGGGCTTGGGGCTCGCGTGCCATCCCCCACTCCCTCTTGGTGTCTTTGTGGGGGTTTCGCCTGGGATTGGAGTTCAGGCCCTGCCTTCCTGCCGGCTCTGGCGGCCGTCATCGGGGCCCAGGGGTTAAACTTGACGCATGCCACAGCAAGTTTATTTACACAGCACTTTCATATGCTGCGGTCATTTGAAGTGCTTTACAAATGACAAAATTCAAATTATATTCATAACAAAAAATTAAAGGAGAATAGAAATTAGAAAGGTGATTAATACATGATTAAAACAATAGATTTTTTAAGAGAAATATCATCAAATTAAAAATCAAATAACTGCCACTCTGTTCTTCTCTGTAGGAGCTGCTACACTTCATGAGAACCAGAGTGACTTTGACTCCTTGAGTTGTTCAGGTATGCAGCACACATGCTATAGGCTGACATATAACATCTGTAGTAAAAATGTAAGAGTTTATGAACGCAATTTGCATATTATGCTTGTAAACTTTTATTATAGTTATTAATTATTTTATTTGGAGCACTCACAATGTTGCTAGCTAAATCAGCAAGCTATAGTCTAGTTCCAGTAGCTGCTCAGTTTAGGCTACAAGCTCTATAGTTGCTATATTAGTAAGAGAAAGCTGTACGTTGTTACCTACACATAATACAACTGGCATAAGAAAGTTCACTATTAACCAGCATTTTGATGGTGCAGTATAATGTAGCTAACATTATTAAGAAATCAGCAGGTACATTAGACTCTATTTTGTCTCATTAACTGTATGAGTAGCTGCCTTTCCCGTTAGCTGGGGTTTGGTACAGACCGCCTTTTATGATGTATAATCTAGAATAGATTATTTCACAGCAACCCCCTCTGAATGACTCTGTTTACATCTTAATAATTCAATTAAGCACACATTTTGAAAAATCTATGGAACACCCTGTTAAGTGCTGTTTATCTGATGGTGGTCTACCAAGTGTTGCAGGTGGTTGTTAGGAGTCTACTTCTTCCTGTAGCTATTAATAATTTTTTGAGCTCCAGTATTACAAAAGAGGATCACCTAATCTCAGAAACATCTCCTGAATGAATAATAAGGACTTACTGACTGTTCTGACAGGAATTTAAAGTTGGGCTCTCTATTACAGCACATGTTGGAAGTCAAGCATCTTCTCATGCTGTGATGTTCTCATCAGATCGTCAAGCTACTGCCAAACAGGGGAGTGATTAAATTCTCAGGCGGCCTGGAACCCTCACACTAATTTACACTTCATCATGCAAAAGTAAGAAGGTGGGAGAATCACAGATCAGAACCGCATGAAGACAGATCAACCTTTCAGTAAAGGTCACAGCCAGAGAAGAACTCCCAAAACGTTCTTCATGGCCCGTTTTACAGAATCATCCTAACTCTGAAATCTGCCCTGACTGAATATAGGACAGTAGCTATTACAGAATAACATTTTCTAACTTCATAATCTTATCATTAACTCCAGATAAGAAACAGTATGACACAAACATCCTAACTAGACTAAGTCTCCTAAATACTGTCCTAACTTTAAGATAAACCCCAACAGTCCTGACTTCTGCATAAGCATCCATTTCTGTTGTTATTTATATTGTAAAACGCTGCATTTTAAAAATCTCAGACACTGCAGACACGATCTCCACCATCCCCTCTTATTACCTTTGTGTGTTAATGTTAATAAAATATTACCGTGATGTTGGTGAATAATGAGGAGACAGAGCTGAACGTGAGTCTGTTTATTAGGAGGAATAACGTTAGCGCGCTTGGTTAAAGCGTTTGGGAAATGGAGACTGAAACAGGGGAGCGGCGACGCTCTGATAAACAGCAGGGGGTGCCCTCACTGTATTCTTCACTTACAGTTTATTACACTAGTTTTGTTTTGACCTTTTTTATATCAGTAACAGCAGCTGTAAGTTAAATTTTTAACACTATTTTGATTATGTGTTGACATTTCAGCTGTGTGTGTATGGTCGGTTGCTAAGCAACAGACATGACAGCTGATAGTCGACTATTATTAATAGTTTTTGCAGATCTCACATTAAACTGGGAGATTGAGTGATGAGTGATTCATATGAACTTGCACAGAAACCTTTTTTTTGGGGGGGGGTGTACGGTTACAGTCAGTGTTGGTAAGCAAAAGATCAGAGTCAGTAATGTGTGTTGGCTCCAATCAGCACGGTGATGAAATCCACAGCTGATTAACACTGTTAAACCTCCAGCTGTCCGCATGTTCCTGGCTTTGTTGATTACTGGAATAGTTTGTGGGATAAACATGGACTTTTCCAGGGAGATGCCACGCACCCCTCACAGGAGGGGGCTTTTCTTGTAACATGACTCAAAAACTTGACTTGACAATTTCATACATTTTTCAATGGAAAAAAACAAATACACAGAAAAATCCAGAACCTGTCCTCAGCTAACCTGCAAACTAATACAGCCCAGTCGTGTATTGAGACCAGCAGGATTCTATTTTCTGGAATCCTTTACCCTTCAGCACTCTGAACTCGGCACTCCCTTTTCTTCAGGTAAAACCAATGATGAGATAACATTAATCCTAATTATTAAATGTTTTAATTAGGAATCAAATACATGAAGCGTTTCACTCATTTAGGACTCACCACCATACAAATGAGTCACTATTGTCTGACAGCACAAGTAAAATATCACAGTATTTTCCCCAAATATATTGCGGTACTGGTTTAAAGCAATAAACTTAATGAGCCCAACAGAGAGGAAACTTACTGTTTATTTAGTTTTTATTAGCTTTTAAACTGTTTATTCAAAACATATGCTGCAGTTAGCTGACCTGGGCTGCATTCAGCCCCAACAAGACATAACAAAACGTTCATTTAAATGGAAACGCTGGTGCACTTAAAACTCTGTTGTGCTACACAAATGTTGCAACTACAGCAGCTGAGAAGGACATTCTTGGTGTCCTTTTCGAAGAATTTTTTAGAGCCTGATGAAACCGGTACAATTATGTGTTTAATACTTCAAAATATGTCTTCTAACATCTTCATTTCTTGCATACAAGCTACAATGGCCACATTTGTAGACTACTTTATTAGAATCCATTGTGTGAGCTGCCTTGTTAATAAGACTAAGTTTATATACACATTGCTGCTGTTTGGATAACACCTCTGACACACCCACCAAACGAGAGAAAATGCAACTCAAAGCTCACTGCACACCATTTCAACAAAACATATTGGTCAACCTGAAAACTGTAGCAAAACAGTGCACAATGTTTTGAGATTGAAGGCAACCCCAGAAGTAAAGAACAAAATTACTCAAAAGCAGGCACTGCTATGCCCAAAACATTCAACTGGATGTGTCCACCAATGCCAAGCATGGGGTATAAAGCCCCCCAGCATTGGGCTGTGGAGCAGTGGAGCTCTGTTCTCTGGAGAGATGGAGCTCCATCCAATACCGTTGGAATGGGTTGGAGTGATCCAGAACTGACCATCCGACATCAGTACCTGACCTCACTAATGCTCTTGTGGCTGACTAATCACAGCGGTAGAGGTTAACACTCTTGGTTTCGGAAGAAATGCTGGTTCAGCAGGTGTCTACAAACTTTCGGACACTGCATCAAACCATCAGTTTACTGATTTACTTCTTAGGATTTCCACCAGAAGAGTGACTTGATTTCTGGCCAGACGCCTGAAACCGCTTAACTGAATTGCTGTGGCTTAGTCAGGCACAAACTAAGTGTCTTTCACTGAGGGCTTATTTGGGATCAGGACAGGAGTTCAGGTGAGGTAAGGGTGGCTGATTCGAGTATGTGGGCTATGGAGCCAAAACTCACCTTTCTGGCATTATTAGGAGTTTATGTTTTAGGTTTCCTGGTGAGCGGGCTTTTCTTAAAAGGTCTGAACCAGTTTATGAGATGCTGAAGTCAGCGTCAGGCCTCACTCTCAACTTTCCATGAGCTTTCCATGATGAGGGATGCACACTTTCACTGAGTTTGATATTCCTTTTTCTGTAATGGACATTAGTTAACAGCAGAGAAGCAAGAACAAAACCAGCTTTTCAGATGATGTTAGTGTCATAACACACATACATGGTAAACTGGTTTAATGGTGTAAGCAGGGTAAAAAAAATAAATAAGTAAATAATTGGGCCAACAGCTGATATTACAATATCGCAATATGTTAAATGTGTGATATTAGGCAAATTATTGTTCATTTGAACGCCACAATTTTTGTTTTGCCTTTATTTCACCATTTTTTGTACAATCATTCTAATCCGTGCTTAGACTGTACACAGCAGTAAAAGACTACACTTAATTATAAGCTAGACAAAACATCAACCAATTAGCTACACATGTACAAACTTAAAGTTTCTAATGTAGATTTTCAGTCTGGCAAAGAATGCTGGGGAATATGCAAATGATGAAACAGCAGATGAGATCTGAGTAATTTTAGGAGCTAGCCGTGATGGAAATTATATGATTATACTACTATCAGTGAAAAATGGGAGGCAAGTGTTAAGGTTAAAATGGTACTGTGTAACTGAATTTATATCACAATTATATTGTACCGTCCAAGCACTGCTCATACAGGTGTACATCTGAAAATGTTATCCTGTTATTCAAAAACTGATGAGAGAAATCCTTTGGTCACTGCGCTTCTCAGAGGCTAAGTCAAAGAGCTAATGCTAACACTTGAGCTAACCAGTGCAGCAATAAATGATGATCTGTGGGCTTCTACACAAGGTTTGTTCTCATCAGTGGACAATGTCTCATCAGTGGACAGACTGAGAACAGAGAAATATCGCAATCGCTTTTGGTTTTAGCTATCGTCTGCTAGAGTAGCAGGCCTAGCCACAGCTGTGCTACCTCTGCCTTCTCAATCACGCCCTTAACCTTAACAATGTGTCCTTACAGAGGTTTGTGAGTGACATTACAATGGAATTCTCAAATTTCCAAGGCGAAAAAAAATTCGCACATGACACTTCACATCAAGTTCGACTTTGGTCAACTCTAACAAAAATTAAAGTCTTTGACCAACAGTGCTACTGCTTTGAATGTGCTGACCTTTGAAGAGGCAGGGCTTCATATATCAGCACTGAACGTCCAAAATGGAGAAATCACTAATTTAACAGCGTCTGAGCATGAACAATGACTATAAATAAGCACGTAATAGAGACTTTGTGATATGCAGTTAGTTGGGACACTGTATTATCTTTACTTTTGTGTTGTATTGCTTGTTTAGAAGAGTTAGCCAGTGTGCTAACTGCTATGTTAGCTAACAGCAGCTTTACACACACCAGCTGTCTACACTTTATTGCTACAGATCAGTGTGCAGCACCGTTCTGCTGAGTACAATTATCTGACATAATTATGTTCACTTTTGTGTTTTACTGATAGGTGAATTAGCCAGCTTGCTAACGATGATGTTAGCTCCTCGGCTAACCACAGCTGCACACAAGACACCATGACTATGATTGTTATGTATGTGTTTTTGCTTAAGATCAGTGTGCAGCACCATACTCTCCAGAATACATGATTATGTATGTTTTTTTCCCCATAACTCTTCGGGGTTAGCAAATTAGCTAGGTTTATGGTACACCAAAACAGGGATTTTTTCAGTGAGTGTGTTTTCATGCACTAAACAATCTGATCATTATCAGATTTATGCAGTTATCTGATTATTAAGTGGTCGTGTAAACAGCACACTGAAAGATGCTGGATTTGAGCTCCTGTTCTCATTTTCTCGCTCCATGTTAAATCGTGCAGCAGTTTCACACTGGCGTCTGGGGTACCTACATGTTTACTGCTGCACCGTTTAAGGTGGAACAGGAAATTCAGCTTCATGAAGGCTGAAAAGAATGAAAAGGGATGAGGAGGCTGCTCTGTCTCTGCTGGACAGGTGGACAACATTAAGTTCTTTTTTGCTCTTTTACAGAATTGTTTTGTCTCATTTGCTAATGTTTGTAATAGCAGCTGGTTAGCTTCCCAGCAGCAACTGTAGTGACAGTTTGCTAACCCACAGCCTAGCTAACATTAGCTACATTACTTGTTGTGCCACTGTTTACTATAACACTATATCATGGTGTTTGTCTGTAAAAGCTTTATGGACACGAAGACCTTAAAACAAAACAAAACAAAAAAAAGTTTGCTAGACCAGTGTCGTTCGCCTTGTCATTGTACCTCCTTAAATTAGGTGGGTGGAGCACTGAAGGGATGGGTGTGTTTGTTTTGCTGTTGAGCTCAACATTGCTTACTGCACCTTTAAGTGTTTCACTGGATCTTTTTTGGACTGTATATTTGCCCCTCGATTGTCTGTGATGCAGCGTAACAAACACCTGGATTCCAGTATTAAAATACTGACACTTGGAAATGCTCAATATTTTAAAAACCTGATACATAGATTAATATAAACATACCAGCTCCTCCTCCGACACCCTGCTGAACAAAGGATGCTCTGTGAAGTGCTTCACCATCCACAGGTGCACCTCTTCTACATCTGTGTTTGTGTACACCAAACCCTAAAGAGGAAGAGAGACAGAACATCTGTGTATCAATACGTGAAACATGTCAGGTCCGCATGGCTGACACACACCATCACACAAAGGCATTTACACAGAGATACAGCTTCACATCGTTTCAGTTTAAATATTGATTTGGCTGTAGATCGTCCCGAGTCGAAAGCACACATCTGACAGAAAAATCAATGTGATTTTTGCTCTGCCTTAAATACTTTGAACTGCGGGCATTTTCCTCACAGAAAAGGACAAAAATAGCTGGAGAGCAAACACAGCAGAGCTTATCGGCAGAGTCATCGGCACTTACTCCGGAGTTAGAGCAGATTGTATTACTAGAAGGCTGGATTCACAGAAGCCGTAAAGGCCCTCAGCTGTCTGGCTGCATCAAACAGGACGAAAATTCACCAATTTTTAAGCTCTTCACCTTTACAGCTGCTGCCAAAAGGTAACACATAAAAGTATGTTCAGACAGTCAGGAGAGAGTTGTGTTTATTAGAATACTCGGAGCTAACCTGCGTTTACCTTTCCAATTCATTCATGTTCCATTTTCAGACTCAGGAAAACAACAGACATACATTTAAAAGAAAACAGATCAGCTAAGGACCTGCTTCATTCAGCAGCCCTGCATCAACATGTACCTTGGTAATCTGATTTCACTTTAAAAGCCAGGTGTAAACACCTCCAGGACGCACTGTGAGCAGATTACCATCAGATCACTCTGACCACAGTCGGAGGGACAGAGACAGATCTGATTACATTTAACTCTCATATAAACAGAGTGTGTTTTATTATCTGTACACACTTACAGAGCACTTACTAGCAGGTAGGGGCTGCACAGACTAGTTGACTTCACTGCTCGGCAATTACGCTTTAATCTTGATGTCAACGATGTAATCGCTGATCATGTGATTATGACACTAACAACATGAACATCTAAGAGAAGACAGCAGGTGAGGAGCCTGGCGATTGAAATTAGTTACTCTTATTTCCGCTCTAAATTTCTCTGCCTCTCAGCAGCTCCGCCAGTGGCGAGTATGTCGGCAGGGCCACCTAAGGTGCACCCAAGTCAGATACAAATTGAGAGAGTTGTCCGTTTCTCTGGTCCCCTGAAGCAATACGATCCAGGGCTCACTGGAAAAGGCACAACACGCTCTACTGACCTTCATCACAGATTTGAAGATTTTAAGTCGCTTGTTGCAAAGCATTGCCTTTCTCTTTAGAGTGAAAAAATAAAAGTTAAATCCATTCATTATCTTGCTGCTAGCATACATGTTAAAAGCGCTAGCATTGTATTTCCAGAAGCAGTCAATGTTAAATTAGCAAACTCTTTATGAAGTGATAAATATAAAGAAATCTCAAATGAAATCAATATTGTTCTAGTTTACGTTCTTGTGCACTGGTCGTGCACTAGTGCTGAGTGACTGTATTCTAGGGTTGCACAGACGAGTTGCTGATCACGTGATTATGACACTAACAACAAGGACAGCACAAAGAAGATAACAAGTGAGGAGGCTGGTGATTTCGGCGTCAGTATCTCAGGGTTTCCTGAAGTCTAGCAATGCGATCCAGTGCTCGTTTTAAACAACACGTGATGCTCTACTGACCTGTGGGCGAGAGAATAAAAAATGTGGGCGAGAGAATAAAAAATGAAAAGAAATATGGATGATACAGGCTGGAAAGGCTGGAGCTCCCCAAACCAACAGCTATCTCTCACTGTGGGAGTCCAGGCTGAGCTCATTCATGACGTCTGATATTTAGCAGGGAAAATTATACTAACCAATAACATCTCGGCATGTTCTCCCTGCCTCTTCTCCACCCAACCAATCACCAGCGAGAACACAACTCTGCTCTCAGCTCCGTAAATGCAATTCCAGTGAGCTAGCCTGCTACAGACCACCTATCTTCTTCACTTAATTTACTCTCTTTTATAACTTTTGTTTGTTGGAAACGGTTGTAAAATAATCACTTATGAGCTTCAGTTGGCAAGGCTGGCAAGTCGAGTTCATATCAACACTAATGAGGTAGTTCAAATATAATGTTTTCTGAAGTTTTGTTGCACTGCAAGGTTTACAACACTGCAAGGCCATAAGGCTCCAACACTGAGGCTGCAACACCGCAAGGCTATAAGGCTGCAACACTGCCAGACTATGAAGCTGCAGCACCGCGAGGCTATGAAGCTGCAACACCACGAGGCTATGAAGCTGCAACACCACGAGGCTATGAAGCTGCAACACTGAGGCTGCTATACTGCAAGGCTATGAGGTTGCAACACTGAAGCAGCAACACAGTAAGGCTGCAAAACTGCGAGGCTATGAGGCTGCAACACTGCAAGGCTATAAGGCTCCAACACTGAGGCTGCAACACTGCGAGGCTATGAGGCAGCAACACTGAGGCTGCAACACTGCGAGGCTGCAACACTGTGAGGCTATGAGGCTGCAACACTGCAAGGCTTTGAGGCTGCTACACTGCAAGGCTATGAGGCTGCTACACTAAGGCTGCGACACTGCAAGGCTATGAGGCTGCAACACTGCGAGGCTGCAGGGAAGCTGAGAGGAGGCAGGGAGAAGGCCGTGTACATGGATTTATTTTAACAATCAATAGATTACTTTTTTCCTGAAGTCTTTTTGTCCTGCATTCGTGTTGAAAATGTAAGAAATGTGGATGCCTACAGGCTAGTCTGCTAACCGGCTGTCAGGCTCATCTATGTCTTAAGAATAAATATAAATATAAATAAATAAATAAATAAATAAAAGGAAAAATGAAATCATGCTTCAGAAACGCACATCAAAATGTCGTGGTACTTCAGACAAAATCTGTATTTTTACTCATCCTTGACTTCTCTCCAGAACAGATGGATTGTGATGACTTAAAGAGACTGACTGACTCTTTAGTTGCTTCGTAATGCCTGCTGTTCACCATCCAATCAAATCCTGTGAAATAAAATCAGGTCCCGCCCACAATTATTTTCTGCCAGAGTATCATGTTTCACTCAGAAATACATCCCGTTACGGAAAAAAAAAACACGTTCTGATGTCTGACTTTAAACATTAAAACGGACAATCTTTACATTCAGAAGTGCCTTTTTCATTGAATCTGGTGAATATGTGAATTTTATTTAGAAATCTGAAGTAGAGCTTTCATTCTCTTTCCGTCACCTTTCCTGCCCCCTCTGCCTCCCACTGGGGTTTGGAGTTCAGTCTCTGATTCCACATTAGTGCTGAATGTGCAGTCAGTCTGCATTAATAACCCACATTCGCACACACAGACCAGCATTGTTCTGCACCACCACCCCACCCGCTTTACCCTCTCTCTCTCGCTCACTTGCCTTCTTCCTCTCTACCACTCTCGCTCTCTCTCTCACAAAGTTACAGCTCTGCCACACTTGATGCTGACAGGTAACACTGGAGTGAAACACAGATGTGAGATGTAGTCACTCGAAACAAACAAAACAAAAAAAAAAAAGATAGTGTCTGAAGTGACGTAAAAGAAGAATGATGCTGTTTGGCCAGCCCTGCAAACTACACTCTCAGAAATAAAGGTACTAAACTGTCACTGGGGCAGTGACCCCCTCGTCACTGGGGTGGAACCATAGATATACACACCTAGATGCCGCGTTGTCTGTTGTTCTCTATCTGAGCCGATAAGCCTGTGCGTCCACCATGTTGGAGCAGTCAAGATCTGATTTTCAACAAATTTACTTGTATTGAGAGGTGAGGAGTTCTCAGGATTAAATCAGCCACAAGTTCCTTATTACTCAACCGATTTTCACCAAATTTGTTTTGTTATAATCCTCAGACATTCATTAATCTAGGCTGTACGGACTGCTCTCAGTAGCTTTATTTCTTTAATAACTGACCGTGTTAATTAGCCGTCAGGACCAGCAGAAAAGTATTCAGTCGGCACCTGGCGTTGAAAAACGAGTTTAGCGTGAGCTCCGGTCGAAACACAATCTCACATATATCAGCAAATCCATCAATGTATGAATCACTTCTAATCTTAATACACATAAAAATAAAATAAACCCCCCAAAACACAGTAAGAAGGACAAAGCTGAAGTTAGCTTGCAAGTTATGCACCATTTAAGGTGGAACAGGAAAATTCAAACAAGAAGCTGGCAAATAAGAAGCTAACTTTGTATAAGAAGGTGCTAATGTTCTATTACGAATATCTACATGGATTAAGGAATGCTATAACTTACCAAGCTACAAAGCATTAACCATAATGGTAAATAAATAACTACATCAAGTTAAGATCCTCTAAATAGACTATTAAATAAAATAAGCTTAATATAAAACCAGAGGAAAAAAAACAATCACATCAACGGGTTTTTTGGGCATCACCAACCACACGGCCATATCTACACATCTAAACATCACAAAAACAATATGCATCACACAATCATGAGCGTGGATCACTGCGTTCCTCCGTTATACAATCCTATCCCACTTCCTGAGTATGCTTGAAATAGTACAATTTTGGACAGTATCTTTCTTAAATTCTGTAACGGTACTGAATGCAGTCCGGCAGCGATGTTGAATGTCCAAAAACCGTCGTTGACGTGCCTGACTGGACCCAACGCGGCATCTAGGTATGTATATCTATGGAACCCTTAAGGGTACATCTCAGTACCTTTAGTCAGGGAACATAATTGTTCCATAATCCATTGAAATATGTACTTATCACCTGAATAAAAAAAAACGTATTTAAGGTTAACAACTGGACCTTAAAATCACTGCTGTACCTTTGAGGAAACATTTACGTTGTTTGTACTGCGATGAACAAACAATGTACCAGCAGAGAACCTTTATTTCTGATGGTGTAAGAGAGTGGCCCTGGTTAGCATTAGCTATTAGCATAGCTAGTGTGATAACAGCTCTGCCCACCACAGAACATGTTTTATTCTGTTTAACTAAAGCACTGACAGAGGTTTAGATGATAATGTTTCGAATCTGAGTGAATGAAGTGGCGCAGTTGGTGCTAAAGGGACAGAAAGGAGAAATTAAATCTGTTCTGTGGTGTTTGGATCTTAACGTTAGCTTAGCGAGCAGCTACAGACCCAAACAAAGCAGAACACCACAGTACAGGTCTGATTCTGATTGACTGTTGCTCTGAAACAAGTGTAGATGATTAAAAATGTCTGAGCTAAAGTGAAATAACTGACAGAAAGACGTAATCAAGCCTGCTCTGTGGTGTGTAGGCATCTCTGAAACGTCCAAAGACTTAAAACCATCGTTTTTAAGGTGTGCTTAACGACACACGATTACTCTGACCACTGTTCAGTTTCTCAGCGCATCACAGAGCGACACTCAGCATTTTGTCATTACTATGTTAAATTGAAGCCAAACTGAGCCAGCATTTTATTACAAAAAGATATAAGTGACAGCAAGACTTTTTCAGAGACTTTTGCAGCTCACTGACACAGAGCTGTAAGCACTAAAGTGATGCCAAGCGCAATTAATGATGGTGAAACAACTTTCACCGGCAAAACCTATTAAAAAAAATGCAGTGATGATTGTAATGAGCTCAACCCCACTGTAGGCATCACATGACCGCGGTATTGCAGAAAAATCATTAACCTGCTGCCATGCGCCATCATCACTAAAGAGCCCAGCATAGATCTGTTCATGTTCTCTGCTTACCCCAACTCTGAGTGTGTATGCATATTCAGCAAGTAACGTGGGACTGATGATCCTCCACTTATGCTTTGTTTTCTTGAAGTGTGGATCCGGAAACAGGAAGAACATCTTGCTGAGCTGCAGAAACATAAAATCACATCTTAAGTAGACTGAACAGTTTTTATTTGCTTTAGGTTCTAGACAGCGCTGTGAGTTAACCTCAAATAAACATGTTGGGTGTCCTGACAAGTCAATGCTGGAACTGTTAGACTCTTCTTAAAGAGATATCAGGTCATTTTTTGAAACATAATAGTTTAAAGAAGTTTGCTGCAACTTTGAAAATATACTGTTATATGGAAACTGCAGTTTAACCTACAGCAGTTTAGCCCTGCCCATTCAGCCTAAAGCAGTTTAGCTCCACAGTGATCACGTAAAAGATTCAGTACAGTTAAGTGCTCTGAATTGAACTGCTGCCCCTCCCTGTATGAACAGGTGGGAGACGCAGCACTAGTTAACTTGGAAATCCCCTTTTTAGGAGTATTTATTAAATTTGACTGTTGAAGCTCATGCGGTTGGAGATCATGCAGCTCCTCATATTCATGCCGGTTACTTTTCTATTAGCCAAATAAATAACTGCATGTTAAGACAGACAAACTGCAGGATAATTACTGGGCGCAGTCGGAGCCGCAGGCCGTCTCTGAGGCTCTGCTTCACAAGGTGGAAAAACCACCACGCTTTAATTAAAGTCTTTAACTTAAAAAAAACACACACAGTCTGAGATGTTCTGGAAATAGAACAGTGAGTCTATATCAGAATATTTTCCAGTGTATATCTGTGTACGAGTTCAGCCAAAGGCAGTGCACATATTTAATCACTCCATTCTGACAGGCCGGATTCTCCCAGCGCTGCCAGAATTAAAATGTTCTGGGCTTTTTGTTTTTATCACACCAGCTTTGGTATCCACTGTTCACGAGAATAACCTTTTAATAAACGTTTTCTTTTTAAATGCTTTACTGTTGACCCAAAGACACACCGATCATGATTTCACCAACTCAGATTTCTTTAAAGCCAAACTGGCCAATGTTTGTGACAATGTGTCACCCACCTGTCCTTTAGTGAAGAAGTTAGGAAGGTACTTCATAGCATTGCTCCGGAGGCAGGCGATGTTCTGGTACTTTCCAGGCTCAGCAGATCGAAGTGAGCGAATGCGGTCCTGCACGTAGTCTGAAACTTTTACCCGAATCTCCAGACCCAGAATCAGCTGATCTGGGAACAGCGGTGATAACTCCACTGCAGAAGAACACAAAGATGGTTTAGAGTGATCACACAGAATTTATCCCACCATAAGAACAGAATTACTATTTTTTTTAATATTAATACTGCTGTTTGCTCATATTTGCTCACATTGCTGTTTGCTCATAGCATATCTGTCCTGAGGTGTGTAGATAACTTGTGGTGAATATATTCACTGTCAGATGTTTCCTGTGCAGCCACACTGATCACTTATTTAAACTATTTATTTTGAGTTAGTACTGAAACCTGTATTACACAGATGCACTATTTAGCACCCTTTGTATCAGCAGCTTGTCAACCCTCTCAGGCTGACAATGTTGTATCCAACATAAAAGGATGACATACATTAAAGGAACGCTGCATGCTAGAGATTTACTTAAATTTTTTCCCCGAAAGGTAGTGTCGCTTTGCCGTTCCAGTGAGGACTGGTGAGATCATATCCTTTTCATAAACTTCTTAATCCAGCTTTGAACTGCACTGTCTTTTTGGAGACGTTGGAAAATAAATCTATAATGATAAATCCAACACTGATGTCTTCTGTGATTATTTATCTGTTTCTCTGTGTTGAAAAAAAGGCCGTGTGCCTGACTCGTCGACCAATTGAAGGCCATGTTCCAGACTCGTCGACCAATCAGGGGCTGTGTTCCAGACTCGTCGACCAATCGCAGGCCATGTTCCAGACTCACTGACCAATCAGAGTCCACGTTTCAGACTCATCGACCTATCAGAGGCTGTGTTCCTAACTTGTTGCCAGAACAACACTACTCTTCAGGGCAAAAAAAATAAATAAATAAATAAAAGAAAAAAACGTCTCTAACATGCAGCGTTCACAAAATAATTGCTCTTTTATCTACGACGTCCTTTGATATTACCTATGACATCATTGACCTGAGAGGGTTAAAACTCCCATATGCTACTTTTTTGTATTTTATTTTTCAACCAATATTTGTTCAGATTTGTGTACCAAAAACAATTCATAATTCAAGCCATTATTAATTTCTACATGTTCTTTTTCCAGCCTCTCTTTATCCCTCACAATTAAACAAGCTGTTTTTTGTTACTGTCCCTTTAAAACAGATACATGTAAATGAGCTTTGTTCTGACTGTCATTCAAAAAGTAGTCCAAGGTGAAACACTCCTTATAACTTCAGCATAAATAAGCAGGAAATGGTTAAAATAACATCAACATGCATAAAATCACTGCTTACTGTTTAAGTATCATTATTATTAACTGTAGTAGTAATAGTAGTAGCATTTTAAACCAGATAAACGGCTAGTGAAGCATCATTTTGTGACATTTGGACAGTACTGTACGTAAATGTGTTGGTGCACCTTAATAAGAAGGACTGTCCAGATACTTTTGGACACATAATGCATCATCAAAATTAGCCTAATGTACTTCAAAGCAGCAGCGTGTGAGATTTAGGGGGATCTATTAGAAGAAAAGTATTACAGAAACAAAACCATGTGTTCATTAGTGTATATTCAGCTGTGAGTATGAATCCTTGTGTTTTCGTTGTCTTAGACTGAGCCCTCCATATCTACATAGGGAGCGGCTCCTCTTCCAACAGAGGCCGCCAAGTTGCAGCTTCCTGTTTCATGTAGTCCAACGCGAACAATCCAAACTCTGGCTCTAGAAGGCACCTTTCACGCTTTTACGCTGAAGCAGCAGCTTGAATTTGGTGGCTGTAGCTCCGGTTGGAAGACATAGAAAAAAGAAGAATTAGTGGCTGGTGCTGGCTGACCATTTTATGTTGTGAGAAGTTTAGGAACCCAAATTTTGACAAATTGAGGATCAAATTTATTATTTAACACAAGAAAAAGTGTGGGAGGGTGAATCCTCACCGTCAAAGAAGAGAAAACATGAAGAAGCAAAACGAAATCGGGACAGACGACTACTACGTACTTGGAAAGGGATGGGTGAGGGAGGGATTCAGCCAGGTACAATCTGCAACCTCACCACTAGAAGGCACTAAATCGTCACACTGCCCCTTTAATTGATGTATCTATTAAATCAGGAGTTCCCAGTCCTGGTCCAGGGGCACATTGTTGTACTTTGTCTCATCAAGCTCACCTGATTCAACTAATTTAACTGATTAACAAGCACCTCCGTAACTAGGTCAGGCGTGCAGAGTAGAGAAAACACAAAAATGTTCAGAGTATTAAGTCACCAGGACTAGGATTGGAAACCCTTGTACTAATTCACACCAGGAATGTTGTACCTAAGTCTGTGTCAACAGCGGCCCCTTGTGGCTCCATGTGCACCTACAGGAGCAGATAAATTGCAGCAGTGAAGACAGTAAAGTGACTCTAAATTTACTGCTATTCAGCTCACATCTTATTATAAATGTTTTAACAATATTTTTGGGGTAATAACATTCTTTAAAGGCTCTCTTCTTTAAGGATCTAGAATTCATTGTTTTGGTAACTTGACAAAAAACATGTGACGTGCATTTACACATATTCACTGACATAATCAGTAAGTTATAAGGAGTGTTTCAGCCTTGACTGCTTTCTAACCGAGGCAAAATACAGGCCAGCCAATCAGAACAGAGCTCATTTACATTTGTCAGAAGCGACAGTAACAGCCTTTTATAGTTCTAAGGGAGATTGGAAAATGGGCATATAAAATAAATTACAACTGTGTTTTAGTATGTGAAACACAACATAGGCTTGAGATAGAAAAAAATAAAAGACAAGGAAAATGTGCGCTATAGGCCCTTTAATTACTCGACTAATAAACTAAAATAAGCTTTAAAGGGCCATTACCATTGCAAAACAATTTTTCCCCACTTTGTTTAAAATAACAGTTCAGTGTAGCATGCAAACACTGTTAAAAGTTTCAAAATGTACCATTCACTCCTCAGTGCATTCGGCCCACATACAAAACCTAAACTCACAGTTTCTGTGATGTTACAAAAACCATCTCTTACACATCCTCCTGTTCAGCCTACAGCAGTTTAGACCCACCCATCTAAGCTAAAGTTATAAGGCGTGTTTCAGCTCGGACTGCTTTGTAAGTGAGGCACAATACAGGCCGGCCAATCTGAACAGAGCTCATTTACATATGTTAGCCTTAAAGAAGCAGTAACAGACAGCCTGCTCAGTTCTAAGGGGATAAAGTTTGGAGATTAGCATGTAGACGTGAATTGTCACTGATTTTCTGCACAAATGTTATGAGTGGACAATACAAAATGTAGATTATAGGTCCTTTAATAATCCTCAGTTAGTAAACTGCTTCAGACAGAGAGAGACATACCAAGCAGGCCGCCGTATCCACAGCCGATATCAGCAAACTCCACCTGAGCTTTTCCTTTATCCGGACTGGCTCCTTCTTCTCTGTGCGGTGGGCTAAAATACTGGGGGTACAGCTGTGACCAGTCCATCTCCTCTGGACAAACTGGGCTGAAACGTAACACAGGAAGTGTACATACAGTGTGCATGCTTTGAGCTATGTGCTAACCACCGATAAACAATAATAATAACACTAATAATAATAATACACTCTTAAAAAGATGCTTTTTTCAGTAAACAGAATGGTTCTATTTAGAACCATGAGTTCTATATAAAACTACTTGCATGCTTAAATGTTTCTTCAGATTGATAGAGATTATGTTGAATATGGTTTTCCACAGCACCAAAAAGGATTCTTCTATTGTTATGATGTCAAGCTTGTAACAGCAGCAGAACCCTTTTCGGTGCTATATAGAACGATATACAACACACTGTCCATCAATCTGAAGAATTTTCACCATGTAAAGAACAATTTAGACATGATATGGTTCTATCCAGAACACATGGTTCTAAATAGAACCATTCCCTTTACTAAAGAACCAACTTTTTAAGAGTGTAGCATTAACAAATAAAATGTAAATGTCTGGTTCGAGACACTTAAGTTCAATTCTTATGCGATTTTTTCCGTTCCTCCTTAAATGGTGCAGGTTGTATCCTGGCGCCTGAGGTCGCTGTACCATTTAAGGTGGAACGGAAAAATTCGCATAAGAATTGAACTTCAGCCTCGTCAGTGCGGTTTAAACTTACTACTCGAAAGTGTGGTCGGCCATCGGGTTGGAGTGAGCCCTCTGCCGGTAATAACGCTTCTGCGGCATCGAAATGCTCATCTTTAATGTTATAACGGGTCGATTAAGCTAGACTACCTAAAGAGAGCAGTTTATAAACTCATACAAACAGCACAGAGCGCTCACATGCAGGAATAAGCACAGAGACGCATGCTTTTTACGTCATCGTAAAAACAGTCCCTGATTGGCTGAGTGATGATCAACGACTTCAAACTGTTCTAAATATAAGACATGTAAAACGTTCTTCTCCATTCATAACACGTTTATAAACAGAGAAAGATGTAAAATAAAAGACGCAATCCATCAATGCTCGCCTCCTTTTCGCTTTAAAGGGGAATTCCGCCGACATTTCCAAAATTCCCATCATAATTGAGTGAGATGTAAACAGAGTGATTCAGAGTGGTTTGGTGTGAAATGGTTCACATGTCTTTACAGTGACGGTGATAGGAACCAGGATTCGCCATGACTACAACACAAATATAGACATTTTATTTACTATCCAAAACCACAAGTGAACCTACACGTCTTCTGAGTTTTACATGGAATGTTGATGATGTGAAAATAGTGGAAAATCTGAAATAAGTTTTCTTCAGGGACTATTTGCCTCACAACGACCAGCATGTTAGGTATCCCTCCACCATGAATGGATTTTACGTTCTCAAAACTATCATAATACAATGTCTCAGACATGAGACAGGGTATTTATAACCATTTCAAGTAATAACTTTCTGTGAGGGAGCTTTTAGAAGTGGACATCTGGTTCCTATCACCACCACTGTGAACAGTTCTGACTCGGTAAGCGGTATATAGAGTATATTTACTCTGTTATGGTCAGTGGTTCCAAATGGTTGCATAAAAGCCCTTTATAAGCTGATAATGAGCTGTTTTGGGAGGCAGCAGTGTTTTGTACAGGCCTTCCTGTTATATTTATAATCCTTAAATACATTACATAAATACATTTGATTAATGTACTGTATATATTAAGAAAAAGCATATATATATATATATATATATATATATATATATATATATATATATATATATATGTATGCAGCATTTTCCCAAAATACACCTCAGAGTTTTTTGATCATTGGCTTCCTAAACACAGCTTAAAATGGAAAAAAGAAATAAAATGCATCAATAAAATCAGTGCTCAGGTTACGGAGGGTTAATAATGAATAATGAATGATCGGATTGATAGAGCACAGATCAGTGTGAATGTGAGGAAGGTCTAGTCGTGTCCTCTACAGCATTATAGAAAACATAGAAATGCAGGCAGTCACTGTCAGAAAAAACACCACACTTTACATGAAATGTTCACTTTTGCTGTGCTCAAATGTTGAAAAATAAAAAAAATGTAGATGGATTTGATACGACAGTGACAATATGTGGATACATAAACATACATTAAAATAAAAAACTGTGGTCTTACAGTCATTCAGGAGTAATGCTGAATGCGTCCGCTAGGTGGAGGTCCAGGCTAAGCTGGGTGAACAGTTGCTCCCAAAAAGTGCCTTAGAGCTCCTGCACTGTGGTTAACTGCTCATGGATGGCTCACTGTAATTATATAGATTACACTGTTAAAGTGTTCTTTAGTAAAGGAAATGGTTCTATGTAGGACCATGAGTTCTATATTTTGGTGCTATGGTTGTATATAATCATGTACAACACATCTTCCATCGATCTATAGAGCCATTTCACCATGCAAAGAACCATAGATGTATATAGAACCATTCCCTTTACTAACTAACCCTTTAAGAATCATCTTTTTTAAGACTGCATTTTTGTGTTACTGTAGCGCAAAGTTCACATTTTTCCATTGAAAACAGAGACTTTCTCAGCACAACCTGAAAGACGACAGCTGTGTTCCGAAGCCTAGGCTGCAGCCAAAGTAGGCTGCCTTTCTCGGCCGCTGCGTTACAGCAGCTCGTTCCAAAGTGAAGGGCCCTTCGTATACAGCCTAGAAATGCAGTCTTCGTTCAGAGGACGCGTCAGATGTATCTTTCAAGGCCTTCGGTTACCCAAGGAAAAAAAACAGCACCAAAAAATGGCGGAAAACAAAGCCGTTGGAGCAGAGTTTGTTTTAAAATGTAAGCTATTCATGTACTTGAATTCGTCTTTGTTACCTTATACAGTGTAAAATGATTGATTGATTAATTAAAGCATTCTCCCATATATCGTATTTTATTTATACGTATTTGAATATATGTAGTTTATCGTACTACATGAGAACATCTCCTCAATTTCCGTGAAGAAATGAAAAAGCAACAAACAGTGCAATGGGCTCCATTTTCTCTCACCAGTTCCCTCACAAGTTTCGCGCTGCTCTGGTGACGTCACCACGCAGCCTCGTTAGGACTGTTCCATTTGTGTGACCAATAGGCTACTAAGGAAGAGGACGGTCCTACCGAGGACCCGCACTACCTCTGTGGGGCGCTACATAGCAGTTTAGCCTATCACAGTCCAATATACTAAAATATGCTAATGAGGGGATTAGGATCAGTACAGCTACAGAAAAGGGATCGACGATATCACTGGTTTCCTTTTCAATCCGATACCACGTAACACTAAAACTAATTCCTCGATACCAATACATTTTAATTATTTGTGATTTCTACAGAGAAGTTTAAAAAGTGGAAATTAAAACCTCAAATTAAAAGCTTTTTAAGTAAACTGTCTGTTTAGGAAAGTAACTCAGTGATATGTGATTTTAGAGCATTCACTGTCTCATATCCCTACTAAAAATAAAACAGAAACCATTAGTTCCTGCTGTTTCCTGATGGTATCCAGTAGTCTCTAATGGTGTTCTGTGTTTTGCTGAGGGGTTAGCATCACAGTGTAATGGACTCTAACAATTTAACTGGTATTCTGGACTGACTCCAGATACATTTGATGGATTAATATGACCATCAACAACACACACACACTTTATCTGTCATGCACATATAAAATGATGACTCTTCAGGGGTTCTTTAGTAAAGACAGTGGTTCTATATAGAACCATGAACACTCAAAGAACCCTTTGCATGATTAAAGGGTTCTTTGCATGGTGAAAGCATTCTTCAGATTGATAGAGAATGTGCTGTAGATGGTTCTACATGGCACCAAAAAGGGTTCTATTTGTGTTTCGATGTAAGGCTTGTAACAATAGAAGAACCATTGGCGGTGCTGTATTGAACCCTTTGGAAAAAAGTTCTATATAGAGCACATTCTTCATCAATCTGAAGAACACTTTAATGATGCATAGAACCCTTTAATCATTAATGCAATTATTCATTGAGTGTTCATAGTTTGATATAGAACCATTTTTAACTACTGCAGGCTTCCAGAACAGAGTTTAAAGAGCTGCTGCTCATCTATAAATCACTGAATGGTTTTGGCATTTCAACCTTAATGAGCTCATTTTAATAACACTTAAGTCTTCATTTTAATTTTCCCTATTGATGTTCTTTTTGCTTTTACTTATCTAAAGCACACTGAACTGACTCTTCAAGGTAAAATGAGCCTTTCCAAAAAAATTTGCAGTCAGAATTAGTCACCATTATAGTACTATGAACCAGACATCCGAAGCATTTAACGGCTCTAAAAGCTACATCCCATTATTACACAAAGTGGTTATAAATGCGTTGCTTGATACCTGAGACATTGTTTTGTGATTGCTTTGTTATAAAGTTTTGGCCTAAAATGTATTTTTAGTAAAAAAAAAAATAAAATTACTCCAGCTAAGATCAATGCACGCAAGCTAAGGTGCTTTTGTTATTAGCCTGTAGCTACAGCTGTTTAACATGGCTAACGCAGCAGCTTTTGTTTACAGTTTATTTTTTCAATTTTCTTACCTAGTTTTGGAAGATGGCACAGTATGCAGAGGACATCAATAAGGTCTGTTCCCAAAATGTCGAGAGAGCCAAAAGGGAGAGAGAGAGAGAGACTGAACCCGCCGGTGCCGAAGCAGGAGAACCCAGGACGAATGGACCAATTTGCTCACCAATTAATGGGGTAGGACAGTGAGGTGTCTGATGAATACTCACATTAGCTACCCAAACAACACAAAAGGAGTGCAGGGCAGACAGGTACATGCAGGGCGTTGTGAATAAAAAGTAGTACCCAAAAACATATTTTTTCGAATTTAGCAGTATTTAACCATTATCAGCGTGACATATAAAACCTTATAAGACACACATAAGTTCACTGGTCATTTTGGATAGCAGATAAAATGATGATTGTCTGTAGTAGACATATGGACGTCTGGTTCCTAGTACTATAATGGTGACTAATTTTGACCCTGTAAATTTCTCTAGAAAGGCGCATTTCACACCAAACCACTCTGAATGATTTTGTTTACATCTAAATGCTCAAATGAATAAGTAATTTTGCAAAATCGGTGGAGTTCCCCTTTAATTATATCTGACATTAGCAAGAGTTGATGTTTGCTAGACTAACTTGTCTGACTAATGGAAGCTGGTTAATCTGTCCCTGGTTCTCCTCTGTGAGCTCATTCGCACGGGCAGATGTTTCAGCAGTGGTGAAGTTCACTGTAAGCCAATTTTTTGTCATAAACTTTGCATTTTACTCTATTTTACTCAGTCAGTCTGATGATGTATGTGTTATTGAGGGATATGTTTGTCAGACAGGCTGGCAGAATATCTCAGTCTCCATGTACCAAACCTGAATTGAGCTCAAAGCTTTAGAGTCACCGTTTGTTTCCCAAATGCCTGGAATGGGAAATTTTCACTATACAGAGCTAAATTATTGTACACAGTCTACACTCTGAGCAAACGGGGTTCTAAGTAATAGCAAAAAGGTTTCACGACTTGCAAGATTCCTCAAAGAACCATACAAAACAGGTTTCCCATCATATAGGCCATGGAAAGAACCACATGCATTCAAGTAGTTCTATATAGTGCATTTACTGAAGAACCCTTTGCTTTTTAAGGAAATATACGCTTTAACAAAACGATAACAAAGGTGTCATAAATTAAGGCTTCTTACAACTCTTTAATATTTGATCATTTGCTTTCAAATCTGCGATATCACATTATTTATAATCAACAATATGGAAAAAAAAACCCAAAACATGAGCATTTACATCCAGTTCAGTTCATCATTACGTGTGCATGTTCTGTTTTTATTGCAGAAGATGAATTGTTGCTATTTTTAACAGTTGTTGCTTTGGGCTCTGGCTCAGTCAAATCCCTTTTAACTCCAATGTTTTATTTCTGCCTTGTCCTCGATGCTGCGCACAGTGGACGGCAGGTCTGACTGACAGGCAGACTCACATAAAGAGATGATATATAAAATTCTGTATCTCTTATAAAATCATTATAACTGACTCACTGTTTTGCCCCATAGAAAACAGCAGAACAGAGTGTATGGCAATGCTTTAAGTGTTTTAGGGTAAGGAAAGAAATGCTCCAGCATTTTCAGTTGTGATCACATTCCTTTTCTAGTCTTCTTCTTCCTTATCAGTGCTTTTTTTGTTCCACAGCTTTCAAAGTTGTCAAGGCATAGCACTTAAAATTAGCAACATCAGAAAATCTCCTGTACAGTAGGAGCCTGGCATCTCAGTGTTTGTATTTTTCTTTTTGGGGGGAAGGAGTAGGGGTGTTTGGGGCTCAGTTTGGGGGGGGGGTGGTTAGGTCCAAAGCCCCTCTTTCTGATGAGCACCTGTCCTTATACCGTTGTAACCCTCATGACGACCTCATGGTTCGTGGCAGTGCCGAGGCGGTGCTCGCTCGGCCGCAGTTGGCTGAGAATGTGCAGTACAGTGTAGCCACAGTGGTGGTTGAGTAGAGTCCTAATCCGCCGCCCAGTGCGACCCGCGTGCCCTCTTGCGCCCGAGCTGTGGGGCAAGCTCCGTGACCCTCGACCCCCTCCTCCTTTGCTGCTGGAGCCCATCGGATCTCCGAGATCTTTGGCCTTCTCATAGTTCAGCACTTTCCACTGCTGGTTCACTGCTTGCCAGCGCTTAAATATTCGGTACACTGATGAACCTTCGTGGATTATAAGGCCTGACAAGAAGAATGGAGGCAGAAAGAGGAAGGAAAGAGGAGAAGGACGTAAGAACTTCTGAATGTCTACTTGGTCTGTAAATGTTTAAAGAAACGCAACACAACCTCAACTCAGTATTCGCTATTAATGTACATTTTAGCTAGTAGCCAGTTTCATCAGCTGAACGCAAGTTCAGTCATAGCCAGGGAAGCTGGTGGGGGGGGGTGGCTTGAGGGGGCTGCAGTATCCCTGATTTCAGTGCTGCTATATATATTAATAAGAAAAAGTCCTAATCTGTATAATAATTTGAGTGTAGTATAGACCCACGCATACTTGTTATGTTTAGGAGTTTATATTTATATGTTTACATTTATATATTTTAATTTTCAAAATCTGCATTGTTTATTTTATTACAGTGAGCTGACGGCTGTTGGCTGCTCTGTGGATGTCACTCAAACACACGCAAGTTGCGAGAAAGAGAAAAGAGAGAAAGTCTATGCAGAGTTATAGATCAGTGTTACAGATCAGAGTCCCAAAGCAGTCTAATATTGTTTTTTAAACTTAAAAATAACCTTCTGTCATAATAATGAAGTTTTTATTACCTACTTAGTGTTAAATCTCACTATTGTATATATCTGTATAACTGCTCTGGGATGGACTGGGGGCCTGTCCAGGGTGTTTCACTGTGAGACTGTGGGCGGGTCACAAACATTAAATAGGTTTATAGATTAACTCATTAATAGGTGCACTGAGAAAAACATTGGCATGGCTGTTTGTGGTTGGTATAGTGTGAATGGTAACACCTCTACCCTCTCCACTGCAGAGGGGGGCTTGATTCCCCTTTTTGACCAAGCACCCTACACTAATAAAAGTATAAGTCCCCCTTTGCTACAGTAACAGCCTCTACTATTCTGGAAGGCTTTACACTAGATGCTGGAACATTGCTGTGAGGATTTGATTGAACATTAGTGAGGTCAGGTACTGATGTTGGATGGTCAGTTCTGGATCACTCCAACTCATCCCAAAGGTATTGGATGGAGCTCCATCACTCCAGAGAACACAGTTCCACTGCTTCACAGCCCGGTGCTGGGGGTCTTTATACCCCTCTAGCCCTTCGAAATAATGACCTTAGACTTATACAAATTGTGTCAGCAAGGGTGCTGATTTTCCTCATTAGAGGGGCCGTCTGGATACTTCTGGACATACAATGTGTATTGTGCAGCCGTTGAAGCAGCTGAGTGACTCACCTATGCAAACAATGTCCATGAAGCCATACATGCCATAGCAGATCTGGAAGAGAAGGTCCTGCCGCTGCCATTTGGCTGAAGGGCTGAGAGATGACCACACTAGCCAGGAAATACTGGCGATGAGGAAGAGGGAGCCCAGGATGATGGCTGCAATCTGGACCTTCTCAATCACCGTCAGTGAGATGGTCTGCCACTAGAACATAAAGACAGGTTTAGCTGTAATTTGTGGTCTTCTACTGACACCTATATAGCCTATATATTCACACTTTAAAATGACTTGGACTGCCATCACTGGCAGTGCAGACCTGTAAGGTGGCGAGTCTATTTCTCAGCACACTTCTCACAAATAAGCATTGCAGACATAATTATCACACACATTCTACCAGTTTTTCAAAAATTCTACATAATTAAATGATTATGTTATAAACAGAGTTGTTCACAGTGGTTTGGTGTGAAATGCTCTGAGTCAGGATTGTATACAGTGGTGGTGATAGGAACCAGACATCCACCTCTAAAAGCACCCTCGCAGAAAGTTATTACATGAAATGATTATGAATATCACTGCCTGATGCCTGAGACATTGTTTAGGATAGTTTTGAGAAGATTTGGCCTTAAAATCTATTCAGGCTTCAGGGATACATGGAGGGCGTTGTGAGGTAAAATAGTCCCCAATGAAAACTTATTATTTCAGATTTTCCACTATTTTCCCCTCATCAACATTCCGTATAAAACTCAGAAGACGTGTTGTAGTCATGGCGACCCCTGGTTCCTATCACCACCACTGTAAACAAATCTGAACCGTTTCACTCCAAACAACTCTGAAGAACCTCAGTGAAGAACCGATAGGATAAAACATTGTAGATTCTGGCTTTGTGGGTCACAGTCAGGACTTGCAGCCAAATAAAAAACTAAAAAATGATCAGGGGGCTGTCCATAAACAGGGTTGTAATTCGTATATGGTTCACCCAGGAGGTAAAGGGTCTCAAATTGAAGCTGACATTCTTCAGTTTAACCTCAAAGACAGTGTTTTTTTGCAGTAAAATGTGCTGGAATACAGAAAGGAAACATGTGCACTCACACACACAAACCTCCACCGACCTGCAGAGGGTTCTTGGTGCTGATTGCTAGCACTTGGTATTTGAAGTAGCAGAGCTCACAGCTCCAGGAGCCCCTCTCGCTGATCCAGCGGATGAGGCAGGGCTGGTGGGTGCAGCGCACGGAGCCGTCACACCGACACGGACTTAGCAGCTCCCCCTGCAGAGAGAAAGCACTGTGTGAATCTCTCAGCTGATAGAGAATTGATTTCAATCACGATTCACTGGTTTGGGGATTTGGAGACCTCTCTGGTGGAAACGTGTAACTGCACACAGAACATTGTGTAGTGCATTGGGGTTCAAAATCACTGCTGGACTGCATTCAGTACCATTACAGATTAGGAAAGTTACTGTCCAAAGACAGTTTAAGAAAGATACTGTCCAAAATTACACTATTTCAAGAATTCTGCACTCAGAAAGTGTGATGGGATTATATAACGGAGATAATATAGTAATCCACACTCACGTCTGTGTGATGTTTATGTGTAGATATGGCCGTGCGGTTGGTGAAGCACAGAGAACCTGCTGGTGTGATTGTTTTTTCCTCTGGTTTTTATATTAAGCTTATTTCATTTAATGGCCTATAATAATAATAATGTAATAATGAAATAATAGCCTATAATAGCATATAATAGCCATTAATTAGTGTGGATATCCACAACAGATTAGCACCTTCTTACACAAAGCTAAATTAAACTTAAATGGTGCAGCATCAGGCAATAGAATGTAACTGCTCCACCATTTAAGGTGAAAGGGGAAAATCTGAACAAGAAGATCGAATCGATCGAAGGTCGAATAGGAAGCCAACTTCAGTCTCGTCCTTCTTATTGTGTTTTGGGGGGTTTATTTTATTTTTATGTGCATTAACACTAGACATGATTCACACATTGATGGATTTGCTGATGTGTGTGATTGTGTTTGTCATGCTAAACTTGGTTTTTAACGTCAGGTACAGACTGAATACTCTCCTGCTCTGGACAGCTAATCAGCACAATCACAATTATGAAACAGAAATGTGCTATTGAGAGCAGACAGTTTGACCTAGATTAATCTATGTCTGAGGTTTATAACAAAACAAATTGGGGAGATCGGTTGAGTAATAAGGAAGTTATGGCTGATTTAATCATGAGATCTCATCATATCTCAGTACACGTGTAATTGTTTACAAGCAGATCTTGACCGTTCCAACATGGCAGACATGCAGACGTATCTCCTCAGACAGGACAACAGACAAACCGGCATCTATGTATGTATATCTATGGTGTAGCACAGGTTGTGCTTGTTAGTTAAAACTGAAAGAAGCATCATTACTGAATGAGGAGAATAAAAACAGGTTAAAATATGGTGAGCATGTGCTGCTGTGAGTTGCCCTGTAAAGCCTGAAATAATCATTTAACAGTCAGAGGTAATACATCTGTACACATTAACATCACAAACACAGGCTCATCATTTATCATAGACTAGTATTTTGGCATGTTTTAACTAAGAAATGTTCCCCAAGTTGATGTTGATTGAAAGAGAATTCACAGAGAACTTGGTAAAGGACGCTTCTTCTGAGGATGTGAGTGACTTATCTACTATTGTCATCACATGTTGATTCTGAGATCAATTGAGGTCTAAACATTGAGCCGGACCTTCTTTTTGAGTCTGTATGTGTGAGGTTAATACGTAAAGACGTACGACGTGGTGTGAAAAACACGATATACACAAACTACCAAAACTCTACCAAATGTTTTAGTAGTGACTGTTTTGGTGGTGATAATTTTAGCTCATTTTGAACTCAAAAACTCAGCCAGTACATGACTAGCAAACACAGCTTTGAACAACTGTACAAACATAAAATCATTATATTTTACATTATTACACAAAAAAGTTCTTAACTGCAGAAAAAATATGACAATTCTTAATGTTCCACACTAATTTTCAGATTTGGGACTCATTTACTTCAAAACAACAGGATCTACCTGCTCACCATGTGGCCATGAGGGACAGGGATGCAGCCTCACTTCCTGCTCTAAAATGCAGGGGTGTGGCTAAAATAAGGCCCCACCTATGGACTAAAATGCTTAGTAAAAAGCATTTGTGTGTACAAGTGTAAGTTTAAGGGTTAGGGTTTGGGACAGACTCCTTCCAACAGAAAGTACCCTATAAATTATGATTGTGTATAACATACTTATTGCTGTCTCTATTAAGAGTTTTTGTTTTTACTCCATTAAGAGTATGAAGTGCTCCTTCATTCGTTTTCATCGTAACATCCCATTGTGTTGGGTCTGATGCTGTTCTTCATCTGCCTTGATCAGGAGCCCTTGCTTGCCCACTTTCTGGACCAGTTTGATCACTATGGAGCATCCTGCTGTCCAATGCTGTGCAGAAAACCTGCACACACTGACCCTCCTGATGACCCTGCTGCTGCACAGGCTCAAATTAATCAATCATAAACATTGTTTCACCTAAACACAAATGATTTAATCATAGACATATTTTATATAAAGCTGCTTTATGACGACACCTGCTGTAAAAAGTGTTACATAAATAAACTCTAACTTGACTTTTTGACCATCTCTCTGTCACAGATTTTGTTTGTTTTCAGTCAAATTTTGCTCAGTTTGTGTGCTGCTGCTCTGGTGAATACATGCGTGAGGATTCACTGACTGTAGATAGCTGCAGGGTGGGGGGGGTGATGTTGGAGACGTTTAGGGAGAAGAAGATTGTAAATGAATAGAGGATGGTTAGAGCGGGGTGGCAGCACGGTGACTCATACACTTTACTGCCTGTCTGCCAACGTGGCAGCACTCAGTGCTCGTGCCCTTTACACGGTCTATACAATCTCTCTTTCTCCGTCTCGCTCAGAGACGGGAAAGAAGGAGATTATTCAAAAATAAGGGGGTGAGTTTGCTTGAAAAACCTTTTTCGTCTTGCAGAAAAAAGATGGAGGATTTTTGAAATTTCACTGATGTCAGGTGGGCGAGAACAAAGACTGCATTACAAAACCACTGCACTGCCAAAACAGTCTGTGTTGAATTCGTTGTAGTTGTGATGTCACAACCATGAACATATTTACAAATGACCACCCATCCTACCGCAGTTTAGTCCTACTCATTCAGCCTACAGCAGTTTGACCCCGCCCATTCAGCCTACAGCAGTTTAGCCTTGCCTATTCAGCCTACAGCAATTTAGCCCCACCCTTTCAGCCTACAGCAGTTTAGCCCCACCCATTCAGCCTACAGCAGTTTAGCTCCACCCATTCAGCCTACAGCAGTTTAGCCCCACCTATTCAGCCTACAGCAGCTCTGCCTCTTTCCATTGAAGTAATGTGCAGTGTTGTATGTTGCCTCATTTGTTCTGAAACCTCCCCTTGACTGTGATTCGTCCTAATCACAGGTGTCATATGGTGGCCTGTGTCACCACACAGAACTTTTAGCAGTGCAGAGACATGAGAGTATAACAGCGTGTCCGGCGATTGTTAGATTCAGTTTAGTTTGAAGTAGACAAATAGCTTTATTGGAGTGGAAGATGTGGGAAAACGATTAAACGTTGTGCGGTTCCTGGATATCAGGAAGCAAATGAATCAACGCAGCTTCCAAGGGATGTGTGGAACTTAACAGCTTAACAGTTTGTGCCACATTTTGAACAGCAGACAATCAGAACAGAGCTAATTTATATATATCAACCTCAAAGACATAGTGACAAAATAAGTTTAATTCTAAGGGATAAAGAAAAGTTGGAAAATTGTCATGTAGAAATGAATTATTATGTTTTGGTACACAAAAACACCTAAAAGGCTTTACGAATAAAAAAAGTGAATCCAAGAAAAATGGAAAATGTGGCTCCTTTTAAAACATCCATTTCTACACCAATCAGATTGTCTAGTTGTACTCTGAGGTAGGCCAGCACCCGCAGGCTTAGCCAAGGGGTGGTCAGGGTGGCTAGTGAGGCTCCAGAATAAAGTATGAATATTCTGGCCACCCTAGTTAGTAAAAGTGAAAAAGTCAGCCATCATCAGTCCACCATTATTAATAAACCATCAATTATGCTTTATGGTGAAAGTCCTCCATCAGGTACCAGTCAGTTATGATTTTAAATTTTAGCTCAGCTTAAAGTCTGTTGACACTGCATTTAATAATTAGCATACTGTGCTGTGATTGGCTGATTTACTCAGTAAACAGGTGAGTGAGTGGTGCTGGGTTAGCAGTGCTGCTCTATGAGCTACATTATTCAGTAGATATTCCATTTTGAAATAAGTAAACGCACAGTTCCGTCATGACAAACTCACATCCAATATCTGACAGTCTGTTAACAAACACGTTATTCTCTGCTGAAATAGCACGGCAGTCATGGTCATCAGGCTCACTGGGAGTAACTTCACCAAATGGTATTTATTCCTAGTAAACACAAAGCAGGAATTAAACCGCAGAGTAGTTATTTTTGGTGTTTTGCTGGGAAGCTGTGGCCATCAGACTAAAGGCTCCGCCGTCTCTGTAAGCTACGAGAATCTGTGTGTTGTTCACGTGATTGCCTGCTTCACAGCTCTTTAGAATGACTTCATTCATTTTAACTGATTTACTGTTATCATTTTATATTGTTTATATACGATTTAGTGATTGTTCTACTTAATTTAGGCTGTTCATTAATTTGCATGATTTCTCTTCATGTGTGCTTCGTCCCCCACCTGCAGGGGGGTGGTTACACACCCGCTCAGCACACAGCACTGAAAATTAGTCCCACATAGCAAGATGTTGTGGACAGTCTAAACAAAACATTAAAAATTAAAGCAAAAAAGGTGTTGAACCTGGATAAACTGGTCTGCAAGACTGGCCTGAAAACGGAAAGGAAAACATCATTTATCATCTATAAATAAAACACTCTCTAACCTTGTCACAGGCCTCTTTTCTATTATAGAGCCAAACTGTTCTAATGGTCATACTGGGCCGGTCATGGTTTCTTTCTCCATCTGCTTTGCTGCTAAATCAGGGCCAGAAAATAACTTCAGAAAAACTACACAGGACAGTGGCTCAGACATGGCTAACACAGCTCAGATCCAGAAAACTGTCCTGTAGAGAGAGGGAGACTCACACTGGGGCTCGTAATGACTAATGACTGTTAGCATGAATATTTTTGATGTTCTCTGACAAGGCAGCTAATTTGTGTTTGTAGAACTAAATGGCAGCAGCAGGAGGATAAACTCCTGTGGAGAACCCTAACCTCTGGAACTGCAGAAACCGGCCAATACAAGCAGAACAGTGTTTCCTGGTATTGAGGCCATTTCTGGATATTTGGGAGCTTTATGTTAGCCAACCTGATTAGCACTTCATTCATGTTGATCAGGAAAAAAGTTTGGTCAATGCGAAAGTAGAGATCTTAAAACAATAAATAAGTATATTTACTGGATTCTACTGAATTAGTCAAAACTATTAAAAAACAATTCATATTCAAATCTTAGATATTTGCTAGGATTGTGTTCTGATCTATTTAAACCTAAGTGCATTAACAGACATAGTAATAAGATAAATATGTACACAATCATCTCTTATAGGATATTTTCTATTGTGAGGAGTTTGTCCCAAACTCTAACCCCTAAATTTTGGGAAACACTTAGGAAAATCACACTTACATATTCTGTATTTTTTAAATGTAGATCTTTTTGATTTCTTTTAAAGTGAAAGATTTCTGTCTATCACGAGTTTCATTCATACATAAATAAAAAACTTCTTCATGTCACTACCAAAACAAAGAGTTTCAATCCATGGCTGGAACCTTATTCAAGCCATGCCCCTGCATTTTATTGGAATCAACCATTCATGCTCTGATTTACAATGAGTGGAAGCTATTATAATACCTGTCCAAAAGTATCCGGACAGTCCTAATGAGCTGCACCCATTACTGACCCAGCTTGTATAATCTTCACAGAAAAGCACTGACCAATATAATGGGACCAATAGAATGGGAAAGCAGTGGAACTGTGTTTTCTGGAGTGATGGAGCTCCATCCAGTACCTTTGGGATGAGTTGGAGTGATCTTCAACTGACCATCCAACATCAGTACCTGACCTCACTAACGCTCAATCAAATCCTCACAGCAATGTTCCATCATCTAGTGTAAAGCCTTCCAGAAGAGTAGAGGCTGTTACTGCAGCACAAACTCACTATTAACACAATGTCAAATGTCAATTGTACAGTGTACAAAACTGTATAGCAGGAGAGTTTATTTAGAGCTCAGCTCATGAATGTCCAGATGGAAATGTGTACCTGAACCATGAAAGGTTTTTTTGGGTACAACAAGTGGTTCTTTTATGGCATCACACAATAAACACATTTTAGCACTTACTACTATTACTAATGATATTAATGACCACAACAAAATCTACACCGACACCAAAAATAATAAAAACAACAACAATAACACCAACTACAGTTATAATAATAATAGCAACATCACCACCAACAACAAGAACAACAACAATAAAAACAATATCTATTACTACAGTAATAATAATAACAACAACAAATTCACCAATACCAATAACACCAACACCACCAACAATAATACTAAAAACAACATCAACAGTAATAACAGCACTTTCAACAACTATTACTGCTAATACTATTACTACTAATAATAATAAAAATAACAACAAAACCACTCATATAACTACTAACACCAATAATAAAACAACAACAACAACAACCGTAGGGGGCGTTTCACAAAGCAGAATTTCTCAGTTTAGCCAGATAGCTCAAAGTCAAGCCTGTCTAATAGGAAATGAGCTGAGGGACATTACTAATAATAATACCACCATCAACAACACTACTTCTACTACTACTATTAATAATCATAATGACGGCGACAATACCACCACCAACACTATTACTAATACTACTACTACTATTACTACTACTACTACTACTACTACTACACCTACTACTACTAATAATAATAATGATAAGAAGAAGAAGAAGAGCAAGTCAACCTACTGAGAATTAAGAAGACAACATTCAATTGCACTTCTTCTCTTGAAACATTAAACCTACACAGTTATAAACTCGAGTCCACATCAGACTGTGACTTCATACAGCATTGAACAGTCTTCAATCCTGCCTGCTGTGGATCCAGTTACGCTTTGCTTTTACCTACTGAGCTCAGATCATCTCCCAGAGTGCACTGCTCCTTCAGCCTCTCTTGGTAAGACAAGCTCCTCTCCAGCCTCTCGCTCTGGACTCCCTCTTTCTCCAAACGGCTCTACAAACCTGCCTTCCTCTACAGGCGAGACCAAGAGAAGCAAACTTCAGTCTGAAGCCTCCACAACAATGTCCATAGAACAAGTGGACAAAACAGATGCGAACAGTAACAGCCCAACTTTGACTTGTTTGGGTTACTGGTTGTGACCTGTAACTTCATTACTGAGCTGTGTTTATGTGTGCAGAGCTGCATGTAGATCATCTAGTACTTCATTTCAGACGAAAAAAGAAGAAGACAAACTTCTCTCCTCCTGCAGTTGCTTAATTGCCAGCTTCTTGCTGGAACTCTCCGTTCAACCTTAAATTGAGCGGCTGTTACCTTCTGGCGCCTGAGGCATTTAAGGTGGAACGGAGAGTACCAGCAAGAAGCCAGTTCGGTGCTCAGAGACCATCTGAGAAGTTTCACAGCCTACCTGCTCCGGTCCCTGGAAGCAGATGCGGCACTGCGGGGAGCGCGAGCCGCTGCCCACGCTGCCCGCGAGCGACACGGCGTCCAGCTCGGCTTTGATCCTCGCGTCCTTCTTCTGCTCGAGCGCCAGGCTCCTGGGCCGCGGCTCCGCTCCGTAGTACTCCTCCTCGTCGTCCGGGCGCGCGCAGCCGAAGGGCGGCCAGCCGCAGGGCGCGAGCCCCGGAGGAGAAGGAGGCCTCGTGCGCCGCACGTCCACGCCAGGCTCGCCGCGCCTCGCGCCCGGGCGCATAAGCACCAGCACTTTGAGCTCGTTGAGGAGCACGCGGAGCCTGTATTTGAACATGCTGGAGGACTGAGAGGGCAACACAGTAGCGAGGAGCTTTACAGTGTTATTATTAACACGAATTAATATGAATGAATCAATTAAGTATTAATGTTATCTTTGTTTGCAACAAAAACGTTACCACAGCACGTTTGGTTAGTCTGTTGCTCACAACGCTGGACGTTCTGAGAGATAAACAAGCCCCCCTCCTACCCTCCTACCCCCCACCCCCCCCACCCCACAACAACTCATATCAGCTCATATCAGCTTCACGGAGCAGGGACGGACACTTCGAGCGCGCGAGAAGCTTCACGTGAGCACGGGCTACTGTAGAGACACGCAGAAACAGTTCATCCATGAAGACACGTTCTTGGTGCGCAGCAGAAGGCAGACTGGGAAAGTGCTCACGCGTTCACACGGCGTCACCCTTTTGTCTATAGCATCCTCAGAAGGTCCGCACGCGGAGAATCCGCCCTACAGTTTCCAGAGCAGAATTCCTGTCACAGTGGATTTAGATGTGGAGCTCAGAGCGACCTGCAGCTCCGCGCTGATGCTGCATCTTCACTCAGACCGTCAGCAGCTCCGCAGCGCTGTGCACGAGCGCCGCTGCTCCTCGCGCTCTGGTCGCCTCCGTTTGTTTGTTGTACTCCTCCTGCTGCGCGCGGAAGCGGACGCCGCTGTCCAGGGTGCTGATTTTCATGTGACGTGACGCCCCACGTGCTTTAAAGCGGACCCCCTCCCCCCAAGTCTACGTCATTCTGGGCGCTGATAGAGAGGATCTGGCACGCGCGTGAAACAAAATGAACAGAGGCTCCCACATGGGCAGTTCTACCAAAATTTTCGAAATTTCTACACAGTTCAGCGGCTGAGACGCAGTTCGATTAGTTCAGACTGGACTGATGTTGAGGCCCACTGTTAGATTTATTGACGAGTGATAAATAAATTTACAATAGGCGAACATTTGAAAACTGCTCCTCTATAAAACCATGTACAAAACATTCTCCATCAATCTGATAAAGCGTTTCACCACATAGAAAACAATTTAAGCATGAAATGGTTGTATATAGAACTTACGGTTCTAAACAGAACCATTCCCTTTTTTAAGAATGTAGAACGGAGCATACCACTTTATATAACCCTGTTTACATCTCAACCACTTAATTATGCACGAATCTTGAAAAAAATGGTAGTATTCCCCCCTCAAGTGCTGTTTATCTGATTGGGGCAGTTTTGGTGTCTACCAGCTCTTAATTGTTTTCATATTTTTTGTTTGAACATTTATGAATATGTGGTTGTTATGCTCATGTTGTCTCCCTCTGCTTGCATTGCAGGTTGCAATTCCATCAAATGCTGTTGCCATATGGCAACAAAACACAGAGTACCTCCCAACACACATATTTTTAACTTTTTATACTTCAATTTATTTTCAATTTGAAAAATTTTCAGTTTGAAAAATTGATAAAACATTTCTTTCATGCATATCTCATAATTCATATGGTAAAGGGTTAACTCTGTAGGTGTTAAATTGAATCTAATATGTGGCCCATAAATGCTATATTTTTAGTGATTACTTTGCTTTCAAAAGGTCACTGCACATTAACCCACAGTGAGAGTTAGCCAGGCTAAAGTACAGCCTCTACACAGGGGGATTTAGTTTAACACACTGATACAGCTAAGACCTCCAAAGTAAACAATCAGAGAACTCCTTTAAAGCTCTCATGATACATAGTGGGTTCTGGCTTACCCAAAAACACCCTCACCATACTGCCATCTGAGCACATTGCCACTCTCTAAAGAAAACAAGTTTCTCCAAAATGATAACTTTACAGGAGAGGACAAAACATTCTTAACCGTTAATGTACATTAACATAAAGAAATTTTACTCAAGTCAATTTTTGGGCATTTCTATTGGTCCATTTATCATGGAATTTTCACACAATGTAGTGGACAGCTGATGAGCTCAAATTATGCAGAAAACTATGATATTTGAAATTAAATTAAGCAACTACCATGTTCAAATTGACCCCACTCCTGAAGCTGGGGTCAGTTGTAACATCTCAGTTGACTAAGACTGTGAGAACAGACATTTTCATTAAGCATCAAACTTAAACACATATTAAACAAAAATTCTGCATTATTAGAGCATTAATACGTAAACAGAGTCGTTCAGAGTGATTTGGTGTGGAACACTCCATTCTAGAGAAACTTACTGAGTCAGAATTGTTCACAGTGGTGGTAATAGGAGCCAGACGTCCACCTCTAAAAGCTCCCTTACAGAAAGTTATTACATTAAATTGTTATGAATACACTGCCTGATGTCTGAGATATTGTTTTACAATAGTTTTGAGAAGATTTCGGCCTTAAAACCCATTCATAGTGGAAGGATACATATAGGGCATTGTGACAAAATAGTTACTTATTAAAACTTATTATTTCAGATTGTCCACTATTTTCCCAACATTAACATTCGTATAAAACTTAGAAGACATGTGTAGGTTCACTGGTGGTTTTGGATAGTAAATAAAATGTCCATATTTGTGTTGTAGTCACGACGACCTCTTGTTACTATCACCACCACTGTAAAGAAATCTAAACCATTTCACACCAAACCACTCTGAATCACTCTGTTTACATCTCACACACTCATTTATGGAGGAATTTTGGGAAACTGGTGGGATTCCCCTTTAAGTCAGTTTTCATTAAGCAGCTTTTGGTATGAAGCCAACTAAGGTGCTTTTTTCATTGCAGTAACAGGACATTATATTTCCTGGTCTGTTCTTTACACGTAGGGCATTGAATAATAAAATAGAAAAAAAAAACATAAGTTAAAAAAGTATTATTGTTTTCAGAATAACTTCAGACGTTTTTCATTTTGTACTGATATTTATGCATTTATTTTGGACAATTTGTTACGAGCATATTTACTGTATTTTATGTATTATTTACTGTATTTTATGACATTTTGTTTATTTGTTGGTGTTATTCTGTCTGTTTTATGCCTTTTTTTTCGTTTGCTGGTCGATTTCAAACCACAGCTGCACATCAGCCTAGCAACAGCGCGTCTCAACCAATCACAGCGTGACTTCCGCGACAGGGCGCTCTCTGATTGGCTCTACGCTGCCACGCTACGGAAAACCACAGAAACACACACAGAATCGCACAGCAGCGAGTCGCTGTTAAATCTGAATGAATTTGGAAAAGAAAGAAAGAAGCAGAGGGAGTTTATAGATGATTCCCACGAGGTGTTCGATATCACAGGTCACACAGCGAATGGACGGTGTAAACAGTGACCAGAGAAGCTCATTCACACTCAGGACGTCCAGAGAAAAAGAAATTAATAAAAAATAGAAATGAATGTAGTTAGCTAATACAAGTGTTAGAAATACTATAAAAGTCTGGTATGAAGTTCAGGCCCTCCTGGATTATCGGTTTTACACCAATATGGAAGAGTGAAGCATTCCCTCCATGCAGAAAGGATCCTGGCTTTAACCCTTTCAGAGTCAGCGTCCAGCCTATATGGTAAAATATATACTCCAAATGTATTTATGAAATATATTTTTGCAATGTATGAAAATGGCTAAAAATGTATTTCTTAAATATATATATTTAAAATGCATTGATTCATATTTGTTATTATATTTGTTGATTTGTGTGTAGTTGTAATAAAGGTTACAGATGTTATTGTCCATTACAGTGGACAGTGGGACTTGATGTGTATCAAGAACACAGACTGATAACAAGGATTAAGACAAATACAATACCAATACAGTACATAGAGTATAAAACAAAGAATAACAATAAAACTCAACCGACGTGAAAGGGGCTCAGGAGATGTACATATAAGATGTGTGGAAATCTGTACATATGCAGACATAAATGTCTGTATGTATGCGGGTCAAGTAATATAAAATATACTATAAATACAGCGCTTACAAAAGATGTTTTTTAAGGTTTCTTTAGTAAAACAAATGATTCTGTATAGAATGCTTCAAGAACGCATCGTGAAATGGTTTATCAGATGGAGGGAGAATGTGCTATAAATGGTTCTATATAAAATATTTTTGAAAATGGTTCTATATAGCACTGAAAAGGGTTCTTGTATTGCTACAGGCTTGACATCACAACAGTAAAAGAACCCTATTTGGTGCTATATAGGCCCATTTTCAAAATCTATAGCACATTCTCCATCAATCTGAAGAACCATTTCACCATGCAGAGAATACTTTAAGCATACAAAGGGTTCTTTGAGTGGTCATGATTCTATGTAAAACAATTTTCTTTACTAAAGAACCCTTGAAAACCCATCTTTTTAAAGAGTGTTTTATACACAGAATATTCCAGGGTGAGACGGACATTTGCAAAAATGTACTTGCACAGTACTACCAATGAGCTTTATGCTACAGGAGGAGTTACTGTAATACTGTAAGGAAGGTTTGTTGGTCCAGTTTAACATTACTGCTTCATTCCACTAAGAAACTGCTTCAAGGCAGCCCAGAGAAACTGAGTGCATATACATGCACTCAATAATCCGATCATAATCGGATTTCTGCAGTTATCCGATTATTCGAATGGTCATGTAAACGCCATACTCCGATCTAGAAATCCGATTAAGGAATCCAATTAAGAGAGCTGAATTTTAGCTCAGTAAACAGATTTCTCAGTGCATGTATACTCGTACTCTGATTTCTATCGGATTTCTTAGTCTGCGCATGCACGAGAACAGACAGTGGATGTCGCGAGATGGCAGCAAAACACTTTTGGAGCGGCACTGAAACCAAACACGAAATAAAGGATTTAAATATTCTTTATTTTCTAGATGATGTACGTTCATTTTTTCAGGTAAAGTCCCTCAATGTTTTTAAAAAAAAGCCGCTCATGAAGTTTGAGTTTACCTTACTTTTACCTCTCGTCTTCTTCTGTGAGTTTATTGGCTGGTTGTAAAGCAGAAATCTGATTACTGTCTGACTCATGTAGACCCGGAGTTTCCCATTATCTGATTACTCAAGTGCATATAAACGTGT